CGCTTGGCGTCTAGCTCCTCACCTGGGGGGCTCAGTTAAGACCCGGAAGCAAAAATCTTGGCACTTCCAACGGCCGCGTCGGAAGCTTAAGCTCCACACCCGGAAGCAAACCTGAGGGTTTTTTGTAACCGTTTCTCAGAGGGTGCGCCGACCAATCCGCAGAGACCCTGGAGGAAGTTGGCGTGACGTCGTCGAGGGGCGGAGCCAGGGCGGCCCAGGGGGCGGGTGTTTGAAACCGGTGCTTGGGAGTCGAACCTAAATATCTGTGTTTTTTTGAGAGCCAATTACTTAATCTGTCTTGCGTCTTTTCCTTCCCCGACCCCCTCCCAGACTCCTCCGCTGCGGTGCTGCGAGGACCGAAGGCGCCGGGGAGTCGGCCCCGCGTCGGGCAAGCGTGAGATCTGAGGAGAGCGCGCCCGCTGGCCCAACGGCTCCCGCTCCTCAGTAGACCCCGCAGCCTAGGGACTAGAGTTGTCACTTAAGTGGATGTGAAGAAGGCGCACATAAGTACGGGGGCAGCCACGAGCTTTCCAAAGGTACCATTCCTGCGAAACCACTATCCTCGGAGGCAGGGGTCGTAGTCGCATTGCTTGTTAAGATATAGATACATAGAGATAATATGCATTAAGCCGCGTAGTGTGAGGGGAGAGGCCGTAAGCGTTAACGACAGCCAGCGTTTAGAGAACAGTGGGCTTAACTGCCAGGAGGAGCATGAGCTGCAATTAAGATGGCTTCCTCATCGTTGTCTTGGTGGTGCCCTATCCTTGAGATCTTGGGAGACGATAGATGCTCAGTACGTTCTCCAGTTTGTCCCAAGTGGAAGGACCGCCTAAAATCGAACATTTCGGTGCCTTCCTTTGGAACTTTTTAAATGAAGAAGGAAAATTAGAACAGATTCTTCCCCCCCTCTTCCTCCTTCCCCGTCCCCCCTCTCCCCCCCAAGTGGAAGGTAAAACATTTCTTTTTCTCATGGAAGCTATATACCTCCCTCAACCTCACACAACCTAAGAACACCATCAGATTAGCGGCTCAAGCCCAAGGTCCACCTCTGTCACTCTTCACATCCCGTTCACTTGCCAATCTTGTCCAGTATTGTGAGAATTACCCTGAAGTTCATTTCCCTGTCACCACATTCATTCAGGCTGCTGTCATTTTCCTCTTGTATTTGTAAATTGCTTCCAAATGGACTTTCCTGAGGTTTTGCACAGAATGACGGAGTTAGGGTACTTAGGATAAAACAGCCACTTGTCTTAACTTGATTCTGAGGATTCTTTATAGTCTGTCTCATGCCCACCTTCCTGGCTTCAGTCAGTCATGGGTACACCATGCTCTAGATGCACTCAACAGGACGTCTCTGTTTCTCAGAGCAAGGCAGGGTTCCCTGTTTATTTTGAGTTTTGAGACAAGGTCTTGCTATGTAGCCCAGGCTGGCTTTGAACTGCAAGTTCTATGTATCCTGACTGACCATCCTCAGCCTCCAGAATGCAAGCATACTATCTTCTAGTTTTTAAAGTTTCCCACTGTATTCTTTGCCTATGTCCCCAACACTGCTGTGAGGACATTATTTTCAGGTCTTAGTCACTGCTGCTTCCTCAGTGGGATTTCCCCTGGCATGGATACTGTGTTTCTCCTATGCATAGATTTATAGCCCCCAGTTCTATACTTTCATAATACTGAACACCAGCTAGGTTTACTGTTTGTTTTCATTACCTTTTGCACCTTTTTCTTCTTGGTTGAGCCAAAGTATTGAGAACAAGTATCTGTGACTCTTTTGGCTTTAACTCCAGTTCTGCTCTCCCTCGATGTGTACAGTTGCATAAACCATTTTCCCTTTGATGCCCTCCATTCCTTGTGCAAAATTGGGGGTAATTCTTTCTGGTACTTTAGTGGTTACATAAGTATTTGTAAAGTGCTTAGAACTATCTCAGCAAGCAGACTCGATAAATCAGTATTGGCTGGTACTCATATTATTATTGTCTGTCTAAGGGCAGTAGAACCTGAATTCCAGAAAAACAGGAACCCTGATTATTCACTGGTGTCCTCTGCATATAGAACAGTACTTGGTACATAACAGGTGCTGAGTAAGTACTGGTTGAATGAGTGAATGACATGTTATAAAGGAGGAATGAAATTTCTATGGCAAAATGGTAACAGGAAACTACCCAGTTTTTTTTCATTCCAGCTGCCTTTATCAACCCCTCAATAATCCATTTAAATTTTTATTTTATTAATTAACACTTGATGATTCCATTATAATTTAGCAAAAGAAAATTAGTTCACAAAATTAAAATCATTTGATTAAAATAGTCTGGAAGTATTAATAAGAAAGGGAAAACCAAAAAAGTTTTTTTAACTTTGAGGACTTGCAAATACTAAGAAAATGATACCATAAAGTTTTTGACTTAAACAATGAAAACACTTAGAAAAAAGAAATGAAGTTGGAAAGTCTGTATTAGCTAGTGTTCTCCATAGGAACAGAACTGATAGAATGAATATATATTAAAAGGGGGTTTACCAGATTGGCTTACATGATGCAATATGGGTGTCCACACTGAGTAGTCACACAGTCCACAAGGCTGCATGTCTCAACAGTCTTAAACAATTCCATTCTGGTTCTGAATGCCTGAAGGATTCCTTGAGAGCCACTGGTCTTCATTCTACAGTGGAAGAATGAAGCTGGATTCTGATGTCAACAGAATGGTGACATCACGCAAGGGAGATGAATTTTGGGCAGTAACCTGAGAACAGGGCAGATGAACTGGACAGCAACCTGAGAACAGGAGAGATGAACTGGACAGCAACCTGAGAACAGGGGAGATGAACTGGACCAGCAAGCTGAGAACAGGGGAGATGAACTGGACAGCAACCTGAGAACAGGGGAGATGAACTGGATAGCAAGCCGAGAACAGGGCAGATGAACTGGACAGCATGATGGAAGGCAATCAGGCACTTTTCTTCCGGCCCTTTGTCTATCACTAGAAGGTTAAATCTTCTTTGTTTTTTTTAAACATTTATTATGTACAGTGTTCTGCCTGCATGTATGTCTACAGGCCAGAAGAGGACACCAGATTTCATTACAGATGGTTGTGAGCCACCATGTGATTGCTGGAAATTGAACTCAGGACCTTTGAAAGAGCAGGTAGTGTGCTGTTTAAC